ATGTATCCTTCAGAGCGCAGCTTGGTCTGATTTAAGCGAATGAAAGCAGGCGTTCAGTTTCGATGTTTGCATGCATATCCACAATGCAGGGATGAAGCAATTTACGGCATTTCAAAAGGGGATTACTTACATTCTGTCGTATAGGAGTAGTGGTAGGAGTAGTGGTTCCCAGCGCTGCATTTCATGTGCGTTACCTCGTCACTGATTGAATTTATCATCTTAACGTTCAAGTGATATCCATCGGTACCATCCCGATAAGTCAATGGATGTTGCGTTGGAATCGGTCTCGGACTGCCGGTATATATGGTATCATCTTACCGTAAAAACATTAGTCTTCCAACGGTTGTTGTCGTACCGTCGTTTACAACAGCATCAGACTGCGTGCATACTGAGCGCGGAGTCGTGTTGACGGTGGTCTGCTCTTCCGCACTGGCGCCATTCGGCCACTCCCAGCTGGCTGTGTATATCCTGTTGCTGAACGAAGCAGGCCTGAAGCTGCAGAACGCGGTAGCCGTGACCGCAACCGGGCTTCCGCAAGCCGAGCTGCACAACACTGAGCGGACACTGGGGGACAGCCCCATTATGTGTGTTGAGCCGGGGAGGGGAGCGTCTGGTGTTAATTGCATCCAGTCCTCACCCCCGAGAATCCCCGAGGCGGCGGTGACGGCCCTATTATATGGACTGTGGGACAATTTTAAGTGGCGTCCAAGTGTTGCGTGTTTTTTTGCCGCAGGGTGAGTGGTTTGCTCTGGCGGCCCATATTGCAGCGGCCCAGAGGGGGTGGAGGGCCTGCTCAAGTGCTTGCAGGGGTGGGTGGTGGGGTGAGTGTGGCCGTCGGGTGGAGCACGTGCGTCTGAGCGAACGTCGGTCAAGTGGCCACAGTCTGGGCGCACATGTGTCCGCGCGGATGTAAGTCAAGTGGCCGCAGCAGGTGGCGTTGTTAGGCCGGAAAAAATCCGGTTTTTTACCCATCACAGGTGTACCATCGGCATAATTACACAACTGACCCGCCAAAAACCCGGCCCTATGCGCGGGTCAGGTTGTGTCCAAATTTCAGCGCAATCGGTGCAGTACTTTCGGAGATTAGATATAACACAGAAAAAAACCTTACATTTTTATATATATAGATTCCTAGCTTAAACCCCAAACATAGCCCCAACTCCAATCTTACCTCGAATGGCGACTGTAAACTTGGCTCTAACGTAACACAAGTAAAACGGTGATTAATAGCCCTCACTCTCCCACAGCAAGTTGGAAATTTTGCCTACTCAGATAAAAAAAGGACATAGCGAAGGAAAAATCGGGACAGTTGGCAGAGGTTCAAAAAATACGCAGCAACGAAGTTGGAAAAGAGGGACTGATTGCCGTGCTGTTCATATAAATGCCCAATGGCCACCTTTAAAAATACAAAGGTGAAATTTTGGTGTAGTGGACAAATCACGTTCTCACAG